GGCACAGGTTGTGTCTTCCAGAGGTTTAAAAGAGCCCAGTATCATATAGAGCCCCTATGTATCAGGCTGTTTGGGGTTATCTATTAGATTCATGTCCCTGGGACCAAATACCTTACATGTAAAATTTAAAGGAAATAAGGCTCATTTTGGCTCATGGTTGAAGAGTTGTCAGTACGTGGTCAGCAGACTCCAAGACAAAAATGGCATGGCAAATGAAAGCTGCTCACCTCCTAGCAGCCAAGAAGCAAAGAAAGAAACCAGGAGGGGTGCGGAGGGAGATCTGGGACCAGGATATGCCCTTCCAAACCCTTTGTAATCTACTTCTTGCAACCAGTCCCCATCTCCTAAGAGCACATTTAACTATGAATTAATGGATGAATTAGCATTAATAGAGCATCAATTCTATTACTTCCTTAAAACCCCATTTCTGAACTTGTGAAACTTTTAGGGGACGTATGGGATCTACACTATAATAGCTTACTCTAAAAAATCACCATAGACTGGTTGTCTTACACAACTTACTTTTATGTCTCACAATCATGACCAAGGTGGTTGTAAAGTAGATTTCATTTTGTGGGCACTTCCTTTGGCTTGTAGGTGACAACCATTAAGAGGGTAGGGTGCACATTGTGTCCTTATCTAGCTTTAAATGCTTACTAAAGGCCCCACCTCCTGAAACCCTTGCACTGGGGGTAAGGCTCCAGTATATGAATTTCAGCACCTGACAAAAAGTTTTGCTGCCTCTACTGGGGCCATTGTTTGTCCCCAATTGTTCTTACTCCCCACTTTAGTCTCCAGCTCATAAAAGCAAGCTCACTATTGCAAGCTCTGTAGTTTTTGTGACTAATTTAGATTGTTCTTGTGTTACTACCCTTAACACCCATGTCCCTGCTGCCTGAATCACCCCAACTGCAATTGCTGCTCATTGACCTAGACTAGAATTAATAAAGAGACTAGCCTGAGTCTCTGGTTAACTCAGGTCTTATTGGAAGGGCCGTGGAGCCCAACGTGTTACAGCTTTGAAGTTTTATACACTTACAATTTTCCAACACATGTGCTGAAAGAGACTCAATAAAGAATCACCACTAAACTCAGAGACACAAGTGCATTCTGTCAGATTGTGTCTGAAGGATTTTAATTAGTGTCTTTTGTGATTTGGCTGCCGTTTAGTACCCTACCCACACTATCTTAAATATAAGCATACTTATAAATTTTAATTTTCAAAACTTTTTCCAGGAAACGTTCCAGGGCCTAAAAAATGAGTTAATAGAAATATAGAAAGTTCATTTTGCTCATATAAAGGATATAGGGTCCGATTCCATCTAATAAAGTAGCCCAAATATCAAAGGTCCATCAGCTATCCTTTAGTCAACACAATGGCCAGGCAAAGGAAGGCAAGCAGTATTTCCATGCTGTTGCATAGTTTCAATGTTCATATTAATAGTCTGAAATCAGCCATAGAATAGAAATATTTATAATATTGAAATAGGCAAATGTTACGAATCTGGGCTTTGGGAGGAGTGGTGCAGCAAGCCAGAATACCAATTCACCATGACTGATGACAAGATACTGTTTTATGAACAGCTCATAGAAATCTCTATAAGCTTAATTTATAACTTTCACAATTCATTATTATATTAAGTCTCCCAACCCATTATCATTTCGCTACAGTTTACCAATCCTGCTTTCAACTGATGAATAAGAGAAGATAAATTCATAGTATATTCTTTGGATTTTATTATTGGTATAATGAGTAGATATTTGTATATGAAGCTTAGGAGTTGATGTTTAGGCATGCACCATATAAACAAAATAACAATTGATACAGATGGAAATGTGGTCACTACATTCTTTTGTTTATATTTAACTTGCTTATTCTCAGCTGTTGAGGGTTAAGCATAAACTTTAGTTAATTTGTCATAACACTATAATTCTCTCTTATAAAATACTAAATCAAATTTTTACTCATTAATGGCCTCTAACAGTTTCTCAGAGGGTATGGCTGTTTGGATACAGTGCCACTTTGGAGGAGAGTGTGAGGAATATGAGGACCATGGAGTTTAGGAACAAAGTCACTGCAACACCTCAGAGAAGAGAATAATTACAATGGAGGATTAAGAAGGGTCAATGATAGAGTCACAACTGAGAAAATGGAAATTGGGGTGTACTGGTCTTTTAAGAAATTGAGTAATAGAAACAAGACAGATTGAAAATTTCCAGGGAAAACTTCAGGGGATGATGTTTGTAAAAGAGTGAGATACCTGCTTTGTTTTTTCAGACAAACTGAAAACAGTCAACAGAAAAATCATGACAAAGTGTAAAACAAATGGAACAAGATCCAGAGACTTGATCTTTGGCAAAAACACTAAATATTTCTTCAGAGCCAGAAGAGGGCAGGGAAAAATTTGGAGGTAAAGAAGATTGTGCTCTTAATCTTCTGAATTTATTGTTGCTGTTTCTCTTATGAATGAAAGGGAAGATGACACTTATTTTTTTTTTTATTCAGTCCCTTTGGTATCTAGTACCTTGCTATGTGAGATGGAGCTTTTGGATGTTTTCCTTCCTTCTCATGCTTGCATTTCCTGCTCATTTACCACTACTTCAACCATTGCAGATCCTAAAACTGTCCTAATGCTTTCTCACCTAACATACATCATTGCCATCTGGAAAATAGTCTACCAATAACTATTCTGCAGTCTTCTTTCCTTTAACCTCAGACTGAAATTTATTTAGGAGATTAAATGTTTAAGTAACATGTTGAAGTCTGAAGACCTTAAAAGAGCTTAACATTTACTGAAATGAATACATGCCCAAAGAAACTTTTTAAAATTAGCATTTAGAAAGGAAAGTAGTCAGTCATGCACCTTTAATAGCTTAAAATGAAGTTATTCTCTCTTGTATGATTGCAAAGCTTTTTCTTAATTTCTGAGTGAGAGGTAGATGTAGAGATTGGGCAAGTAAAGAGGGCAAAAAACAAATACATTAGGATGTGGAAGATGTTTATGGGTATTACCCCACTGCCTTGTACACAAAAGTCATTCATTTTAAGGAATAAAATGTCTTTATAATTCTAATATCATGTAGCGCAAACAAGTACTAATAACAAAACCAGAAATAAAAAAGCAAGAATGATAATAGACATATGATAGCTACAAAGTTTTCAAGAAATTATCAACAAACAGAGCAAAAATTTTTTCTTGGAGATTAAAAAGTAAGGCCAGTACCTTTTAAAAAATAATGACCCACTTAGCAATGCTTTGATTAACCATTTATTTTCTTTTCATGACCCCAGAAAATTTACCTGGCTTTCCTCTTCTATTGCCATCACCATTTTATTCTATTGAGGATTTCATTTCGTCTCTTATTCATTGCATAATAAAACTCATGTTTGTAAATGTTGCCATTCCATTTCTATAAATAAAAGAAGCAAATCCTTTTCAGATTTCCATGAATTTTATATTTTTGATTATGTGTGTTCAGTCTAGCTCAGGTATATACAGTGTGATTTTTATGCCTATATGTTCCCTACAAAACTTTGGAAGCAACAATTTTGAAGGTATAATTATTTTTTTGAAAAATATTCTAGAAAGCTTATCTCTACATGAATACAGTTTCTAAGCAAAGGTTGGCTTATTCGATGCAATATTATAGGCTACTGTGTCATAGATTTAAATATTCAGAGAACATGCTAATTAGGCCAAAATTAGCTTCTCAGATTGCTTGAGAATCAGATTTTTAAAAAAGAATTGCCTTATGTGATTATATATCTTCTACTTTAAGGATAAGCATTTCTAAAAATAAAAAGAGAAAAAGATTTCTTGCTCCAATCGTCGATCGCTCTAGTTGCATCAGTTTTGACTTCTTTCAAGTGATAAAACAGCCAATCTCGCCAGGATTCATTAGAAGGCAGTCGTAGTTATTCTACCTTCAGGAGTTTTAAATCCTATACTCTCTTTATCTGCTAATGTCGTACCGCACAATGACAACGTTTTCATTAAAATTGAGTTAATAAATATGTGATAGAAAAGTCAATTCAGAAAGAAAGAAAAAGCCTTAACACTGAACTAAGGAAACTTGAAAATGCTAATCACGAAAAAAATGTTTTGAGTTAAGTAGCTATTATGAGTTCTCTTTGTTGTACCCATTTTCGGGAAATTTGTCTCATTAATATATGTCCATTAACATACAGATAAGCTAAAAAGTACTTTTACATTATCTAACAAGCATCATTTTTTAAAAATTGAGATCAAACATTACAACTATGATCAATTATGCTTCTTATGTTGCTATGAAGTAATGTTCCAATAAATTCATCAGAAATTGAAAATGTATTTAATAACCTAGCCCACAGAACATCATAGTGGCACAGTACCCTCATGATCAGGGGCTGAGCGCTAGCAGGAAGAGAATATCCTGTTGTATATTGCAATCCCTGGAAAAAATGAAAATGCAAAATTTGAAGTATAGTTTCTACTGAATGCTTGTGATTGTTGCACCACTATAAGCATGAAAAATCCTAAATTTAATCATCATAATTCAAAGACCCTCTGTGTTAATAGACAATTTCCAAAGTTCCTGATCTATTTCCATCTTGTGCCATTAAAACAAGCAAAACAATGAAAAACAACAATAACAACAAAGAGAGTTGGCTCCTTTTAAAATTATCTCATTTTTTGCATAAGATAATATGCTAACATGAATGTAAAGTTCTAAAATAACAAACTACTTTCAATTATTTAAAGCCTTATATTAGATTTGCTTTTCAACTTTCACAAGTTGTATTCACTAATTTCCAAGCAGGATAAATGTGCATATGGGAAATATGTGCACGGGCTTATTTCTGGTATGAATTTTAAAAGTAACTCATGTTTTATGGAAAGAGCTTTGGAAAACTATCTGGTTGCTTGCCCTGGTGGTGGTGGAGCAGAGATTGAAGTAGAAAGCCAAGACTTCCGTTTGCTCTACTCCGCAGAGTGATGGTTTCGTCTGAGGCTTGCCTTAAATGCATTTTATTTGGGGGAAGACAGATGTATCATATGAAATAAAGCTACTTTTTTCTTAACTTACAGTGTGATGCCTTCCTATTTGGAGACATGAGACAGTAGCAATGAGACCGTAGCTTGACGTAGCAAACGCAGGTGTGGAAGGCGGCTTGTGGGCAAAGCAGGCTCATTTATCTCTGTCTCAATACAGGATGCTCCAGCAGTGTACAAGCAGCAGAGTGCTCTTCTCAAGCCATAGCTGCTTCCTGTGCCTCAGGGGTCTGCTCATCACATCCATTCATTTTGGTCCCAACAAAGATTTCATTTGAAAAATTAAAGTTACTGCAAAAACAGTGAAAGCTGCTGTCAGAGTTCACTAGGTGATTTCTCGTATGGTGATCCCAATGAAAATATTTTTCAGCATTCAAGGTTTTTTTCTTACTATAAATTAAATATATATTTACAGCAGGAACAATTTGGGAAAAACCACAATAAATCATACTAAAATAAAAATAAACATGGTTCCCATCATTGAAACAAATATTTTCTATTTTGTATTGATGCTTTAAACAAATAATAAAACATCACTCTTAACATTTCTTAGTAATTTATTTACTTATTTATTTATTTGGAACCAGGGTTTGAACTCAGGACCTTGCACTTGCAAGGCAGGCAGCAGAACCACTGAACTAAATCCCCAGGCCTCTTAGTACCTACTTTAGTAGAAATAGTCTTATCATATGTTTACATAATAGCACTATGTGTTCATAAATTTTGGTGTTTTGGAAGTTTACATTTAATATTTTAAGTAAATTTCTTTTTAAAATTTGTGACCTTGAGGCAACTTTCAAAATTACTCATAGTTTCTATACTCAACAAAATAAAATAAGAATATGGGTTAGTTATTTCATCCAATGTCTTTAACAAGTTTTACAAAAATTTTCTCTTCCCACACCACATTCTAGAACATATACCCGAAGAAAAAAGCATATATGCATAACACCGCAGTTTGAAAGATTATTGGGAGAATTCATATACTGATGCAATAGTGATTGTAAATTTTAAATTAGTCTTTGAAAATCATTGAGCAAGAGGTTAAATTATTTACATATTTCTCTATTTAAAAAATCCTATTACCACATAAAATTATGACACATGGGTTATATATTTTTAACTCAAATAGAAGTTATTCCAAATTGTTGGGTATTTACTTGTCAGAGGAGAATACACATAATCTATTCAGTGCTTTTACTTCTTTGTTGTTGACTCATTCAGACCAGTTATTCAAGCATGAGAAAACCAAAATGAAATTTTTTTAACAGTTTCTAGCATCTTTCAACTAGTTTTGTAATATTTAAAATGTCAGTTGTTGGGCTGGGGATTTAACTTATTGGTACTGTGCCTGCCATGCAAGTGCAAGGTCCTGAGTTTGATCCCCAGTACCAGAAATAAAAACACACACACAAATAAAAACAAATAAAATGTCACTTGTTACTACCAGTTTCCTCAGTTGATCTCTATTTTCATGTAGTTGATTAAAATTAATTATTACTACAAAAAGCATGAAATATATTAAACCTTCAGTAAATGTTAATAGTAATAGTTATAATAAACACAATAATGTTGGAATTTGTTAGATTAACTGAATACTGTTACTAATGCAGAACCCCTATGAAGCCTACCTAGAGAAATTACTACATTTTATTACTGGCTGATTTCTGGAGGAAACACATTATTTTTGCACCTTGTTGTCCTGATTGGCTCAAATGTCCCTCACAACAGAAGAGAAGCTAACTACTGAGGCATAATATGGTTCACCATTTGCTTACATAATAAAATGTTTTCAATGTGCAGTTGTGTGCTTTTGGGACAAAAGCTCTAGGAATTGTTTTGCAAAATTTTAGTAAAGCTATCTACAGCTAAATTTAAGATTTCATAATGTTATTTTATTGATTAAATTATTGTGTTGCATACCTTGACATAATGTAATTCCTTGATGGAAATTAGCATAAATGTAGCTTGTTATCAGGGTACTTCCTAAAGAAGAAATAAAAACCTATGCTAAATATTAATCCTAGCCATGACTGAGGGCTTTCTAAATTGCAATAGTGATTTAGCAGGTTATTGTTTGGCTTAAGATTATGGCCTTGGAGGTTGTTAATTGTATCTACTGACACTGAATTTATTTAGAATTGGTTGCCCAGAAATATTTCTTGACATGCTATATAAATATATAAACTATTATTTTTTGAGGGGCTAGACATTACTACAGAATAAGTGGCAATCAAAGTGCAGACAATCAAAAGAATATTAAATGCTGCGCGGGAGCTCCCGGCCTGCGCGACAACAGACCCAGGAAGGACCCAAGGACCCCAGAGGGGGTTTTTTTCAGCTGCCTGCCTACCTGCCTGTCTGCGATCACCCGGCGGCGTGCGCGTGAGCTCCCGGCCTGCGCGGGAGCTCCCGGCCTGCGCGACAACAGACCCAGGAAGGACCCAAGGACCCCACATAATGTAATTCCTTGATGGAAATTAGCATAAATGTAGCTTGTTATCAGGGTACTTCCTAAAGAAGAAATAAAAACCTATGCTAAATATTAATCCTAGCCATGACTGAGGGCTTTCTAAATTGCAATAGTGATTTAGCAGGTTATTGTTTGGCTTAAGATTATGGCCTTGGAGGTTGTTAATTGTATCTACTGACACTGAATTTATTTAGAATTGGTTGCCCAGAAATATTTCTTGACATGCTATATAAATATATAAACTATTATTTTTTGAGGGGCTAGACATTACTACAGAATAAGTGGCAATCAAAGTGCAGACAATCAAAAGAATATTAAATGTATCCATCTGCAGATTGAGAGCTCTGGTAGTTTCATTATGGCTGCATTTGATAGAAAATGTTCATCTCCAAAGCTGACTTTTAACAGAGCTAATTTTATGCCAGTAATAGATAGAAAACTGATGAGATGAGTAATATGTATTTATAATTCTAATTATTATCTGAGTTGGAATGAAGTACAGCATGTGGAAAGACAATATATTGCTTTTGTTGAACACATATGAATAATACCTATAAAAATAAAAATATTTATATGAGAGCAAAGCATCACATAATCATTGATTTCAAATTTATGGATATCATACACAATGGAAAGCAGTGTTAAACATTTTGCTAATTTAAACATTTAAGAGCAATATTTTTCCTGCAGAAGTCACACATTCTGCATCTTCAAGTTCTAATTCTAACAAACCCATCACTGAATTGTTTTGTGAGTTTATAGAGTTGGATTTTTAAAGGCAGTATTAAATACTCAAAAAATTTGCTTTCATTTTTTAAATTTTTCAGCTTTCAAACCCAAACATGTCTTTCCTTACCTATGCTTTCTCCTTTTTTAACTGAGAAGAGTAATTGTACAGCCCTCATGGAGGCACTACAAGTCCTAAATGAGAACATAAACTGTCAGTGTAAGGAACTGATAAATATCAACTATTGTAGCTACAAAAGAACCATGATTTCATTATGCTACTATCACAAAAGATCATAGTTTAGATATTTCTCAAGTTCTGAAATGGAGTTCATATCCCTTTATATAAGAACCAAAGCATAGATTTTTAATATCTCATCTTTGAATAGCACCTTAAAAAATAAAAATAAAAAATTAAAAGCCATGGTCTATTTAATCCCTAATATAAATTTATATATTTGACATGCTTAATACTCTTTTTAACTAATCAATAAGTAGAGATAAAGAAGCTTTGGGAGTGGAATGACTGAGTATATTTTTGAAAAAACACTCTAGATGATTATAATGCATTGTAAACTTTGAAAGCCATGGCACTACATAAGGCAGCAAAGGATAACATCTAAAGTACAAGTAGCAACGCATTAATAATGTTCCATTTCTTCATATTCATAGGTATATATCTGTGAAATTAGTATACTTAATTTTATAAACACTACCAGCTGAATATGAGTATTTTGCTAAGTCTATATGTGGGTGAACATATCTATAAATCAAAGAAATAGATATCAAACAGGAAAAATCTTTTGTGGCTCTTGTTTTTTCCTCTCTAATGATTTTATTTTATTCCAAGTTTATTAATGTATAATTGAAAAATTAGAATTGTATGTATTCAAGAGGTACAAGGTGATGATTAGAGTATATACTGTGAAGTGATTACTGTAATCAAGCCAATTAACTTCACATAGTTAACTCTGTGTGTGTGTGTGTGTGTGTGTGTGTGTGTGTGTGTGTGTGTGTGTGTGTGTGTGTGTGTGTGTGTGTGTGTGTGTGTGTGTGTGTGTGTGTGTGTGTGTGTGTGTGTGTGTGTGTGCGTGCGCGCAAGTATATGCAAATTTTCCTAATCTCGCATTCAGGGAATGATTCTACTCACCCATATCATTTTATTTCAAAACGATCTCATGGAGAGAGTTCCAGAGAGCATGGTTACAGTTTAAAGTCTAAATGAGCTATTCTGTCTTCTGATTTTAAGGAAACGGGGCACATTTTAAAGTTTTGGCTGTCTTGCATAATTAAACTCACTTAAGATTTCTTTTAAAAGAAATTTCTAGGTAGTAACTTATACTTAAAAGTAATTCTACAATTAGGCACAAGAATGAATAAAGTATTCCACTGCCTGGAATTACAGAGAAAATGTCCTGTCCAATCCTCTTCTGCACAGACGTTTACTGAGTGCTGTCTCGCCTTCCTCTACTCATTGGCATTGTCCGGGGCATAATTTAAACCATCTTACCTCCTCGGTTTTCTCAAAGAGTTAAATTTATATAATTAGCTTTCGGTTCTTAAATGTCTGCTGTTACACCTTTATTCAAATGTTGACGTCCAGCCCAGATTTCCATGGGATTTGCCCACCTAAATTCCACACTCACATGCCATAGGTATCCCAAGGGGATAATTAAGAAATACAACTATTTGTAAATAACCCTTTGAATCTGGCTTCTTATATTTAACATGATGCATTTGAAATTTGTCCATGGATTTACATTTATAGTAGGTCACTTCTTTTTTTAATTACCCAAGGATATTTCTTTAAGTGAATGTGTCGATTCGTTTAGCTATTCCCCTGCTGAAGTGTGTGTGTGTTGCTTACAGGTTTTGAGACTATGAATAAGAATTGAACAGATATACATGTTTTACAGTGAGCATAAGTTTTTACTTACTATATAAATGCTTAAAACCAGGGATGCTGATTTATATGTTGAGTGTGTGATCAGCATTACAGAAACTGCTACACATTTTTCCATTTTGAATCCCCAGCAATGTATGAAGCTGTTGGTTACCTCATCAGCACTTATTATTGCCAATGCGTATTCTTTTATTTTAGCCATTCTAATAGGAACATTCTGCTGCATCACTATGATGTTAACTTATGTTTATCCATACCCAGTGATTATATCGATGGCCGTACTTTTGTCTGGGTATTGAGCATTCATATATTTCCTTTGGTATCATTTCTACTCGAATATTTTGCCAGTTTTTATTGTTTATTTTTCTTATTACTGAATTTGAAGACTTCTCTGTATACTGTCTTTTTGTTTTTGTTTTATCCTGCTTCCTTTTCCCCGTTCTCCCTCCCCTTAGCCCCCTCCATGCTTTACGTACAAAAACTTTTTTCCATTTTTCCTTCTAGTTTCACTTTTTGGGGGGAGGTATACAAATTCTCAAACATGAGATTTTTCAATATTTTTTTAAATCTGTTATTTCTCTTTTCATCTTAGCAGTTTCTTTCAAAGAACAGAAGTTTTAAATTTTATCACAACTTACCGATTTTTGTCTTTAATGATCTCGTTTGGTGTCATGTCTAAGAAGTCTTTGCTCAAAACATTTTTCTTATATTCACTTTTAGAAATTTTACATTTCGCTTTTACATTTGCTTGTCTAATTTTCTATTTATATGGCCTGAAGATGTATATTTGCACCTTTTTGTACACATATATGGTACAGAGGTGTAAAGTATAGGTACGTCTTGTTTTGTCTTGGAAATTTACATATGGATAGCCAATAGTTCCTGCAACACGTCTCTAATGCATTGCCTATAGACTTCATTGACTACCAATTATATATTTTTATATACTCAAGTTTCTGGATTATAATGTGTTTGGTTACTCTGTATCCATCCTTTGGCCAATATCTACTGTATGATGAACCTTAGATTCTAGTATCTCAAATCTTTCAACATTTGTTCTTTTAAAAAATTGTTTCATGTCATTATTTTGTCTTTTCATATATTTTAGAATCAGCTTACAAATTTCTAGAACAAAATGTATTAATTTCATAAGGAAACATGTCTTACTACTACTATTGAGTCTTTTTTAAATAAGACTATATAGGCTGGGCTTGGTGGTGCATGCCTATAATCCAAGCACTGGGGAGGCTAAGGCAGGAGGATCACTATGAGTTCAAAACCAGCATGGGCTACATAGTGAGTTCCAGGTCAGTCTCAATTACATAGTGAGACTCTGTATCACCGCCCCAATAATAATAGTAATAATAATAATAATAATAATAATAATAATAATAATAATAAATTTTTAAAAATAAATAAAATAGGACTATATATACCTTTACTTATTTGTTTTTTTATTTCTTTTATAAGTGTTTAGTGCATTTTATCAGTCAGTTTCTGAGCATATTTGGTTAGATTTATCTCTTTTTGTTTTATTGTGGTTTTTTGTTTTATTCTCAAGGGAATTTTTTGTTTTTTTAATTCCGGTAGTTGCTGCTAGTACAGAAATTTTATCTAGTGTAGTATGATAATGAAAAACCCACATTAGTTTTTGAGAATTTTATCTATATAACTTGGCGGTTTTTGAATACAGAAAATTCTACATTTTCCTTTCTTATCTGAAAGCCATTCATATCTTTTCATACTGAAATTACTAGAATCTCACATATAATATGGAAGAAGAGTGGGAAGAGAGGACATCTTGGCCTTATTTGCAATCTTAGGAAAAAAGTTCAGTCTTTCACCTTTAGTATAATGTTAACTGTATTTTTTTCCACAGAAGATATTCGTCGGGTTAAAATTAGTTTCCTGTATCTTTTTTTAAAGGAAAAGATGTTGATTACTTTCAGATTCTTTTTCTGAATCTTTTTCAGATGATGAGTTGCATTTTTTTCTATAGCTTTTCCTATGGCAAATCTCATTAGCATTCAGTGTTGAATCAACCTTTCATTAATAGAATAAATCACATTTGGTTGTTATATATTATACTTGTTATACATTACAGGATTATATTTGCTGCTATTTTTTGAGGGTTTTTTCATCTATCTTCCAGAGGGACATTTATCTGTATTCTTATTTATTTGTCACTAAAAATGGCTTTTCTGCGGTGCACTTCCTACTCTTCTATTTTGTGCAGTAGTTTGTACATGATTAGAAATGCTCCTTGCTCTTTGGTAGAATATGGCAATGAA